TTTTTTTTTTTGAGTAAAAGTCTCACTCTGTCACCCAGGCTGGAGGGCTGTGGCATGCTCCTGGCCACTGTAGCCTTGACCTGCTGGGCTCAGGCGATCCTTCTGCCTCAGTCTTCCAAGTAGCTGGAACTACAGGTACACGCAACCACACCTGGCTAATTTTTGATTCATTGGAGAGATGAGGTCTCACCAAATTGCCCAGGCTGGACTCAAACCTGTGGGTTTACGCAATCCTCTCACCTCAGCTTCCCAAAGTGCTGGGATTAGGCGTGAGCCACCATAACCGGCCAAAAAAGAAAGTTTTAAAACCAGTTGCAGCCAGGCTCGGTGGCTCAACCTCAACCTATAATCCCGCGCTTTGGGAGGCTGAGGTGAGTGGATTGCCTGAGCCCGCGGGTTCGAGACCCGCCTAGGCAACTTGGCGAGACCTCATCTTTACAATAAATCAAAAAATTAGCCAGGCGTGGTAGTATACGCCTGCAGTTCCAGCTACTTGAAAGGCTGAGGCGAAAGGATGACTGGAGCCCAACAGGTTGACGCTGTGGTGGCCAGAAGCGTGCCACTACACTCCAGTCTGGGCAACAGAGTGAGATTCCAACTAAAAAAAACCCCCAAAAAACCAGTTGCTTAACCTACAAATATATTAACCTAGAAATACACACATACACAGACACACACACATGGAGAGAAGAGTAAAAAGAAACAACACACATCACAAACAACTGGAACCCTAAAACAAAACACACCAGGGACACAGGGCAAGTTACACTTACTTAAGAGATCCTGACAGCTTGGGCTGCTGGAGAAGTTTATCTGCATGATTCAAAGCCATAAGGTTATCACCCAAAGCCAGAGCCACATAAGCACTGCAAGCAAGTATGGAGCACCTAGAACACAAAAGGGAAGAGGCCGAAAGCCTGAGTTTAAAACTGATAATGGTTATTTCTGTGAAATAGGGACAGATGCTCTAATTACAGCTGTGACAACCTGGACACCAGGAAGGGAGAGAGGAAGTTGTGGTATTAATGGTAAGAATGAAAATGGTGTAGGAGATCTTTCTGAAGCACAGTATAGTTATTTACCCAAATCATCTTTAGCGTCCATCCTACTGACCCACATCTCCAACAAAATTACCAGGTGAAGGTACAATACCTTCTAGTCTGTAAAAGATAACACTGCAGTTAAAGGCCTAATGAGAACTTCCTTCCATAGAACAAACCTTCTAACAATCTGAAGATAAAGTGTGGAAGCAGATCTTATTTTTTTCTGCACATGTTTGTGATTCTGCTTAAATACACAATTTACTTTGCTTTTTCTTTTTTCTTTTTTTTGAGTTGGAGTCTCACTCTGTTGCCCAGACTGGAGTACAGTGGCATGCTCATGGCTACCGTAGCCTCAACCTGCTGGGCTCAGGTGATCCTTCTGCCTCAGCCTTCTAAGTAGCCATAACTACAGGTATGCACTACCATGCCCGGCTAATTTTTATTTATTGTAGCGATGAGGTCTTGCCAAGTTCCCTGAGCTGGTCTTGAACCTGCGGTATCAGGCTTCACTCGCCTGAGCCTCCCAAAGTGCTGGGATTACAGACTGAGCCACCGAGCCCGGCCACAATTTACTTTTTTTTGAGTTGGAGTCTCACTCTGTTACCCAGGCTGGCGTGCAGTGGCAGTCACGGCCACCATAGCCTCAACCTGCTGTGCTTAAGTGATTCTTCCACTTTAGCCTTGCAAGTAGCTGGAACTATAGGCACACACGACCATGTCTGGCTTATTTTTTGATTTATTGTAGAGACAAGGTCTCATCAAGTTACCCAGACTGGTCTCAAAGCCTTGAACTCAGACAATCCTCTCGCCTCAGGCTTTCAAAGTGCTGAAATTACAAGCTTGAGCCATTGTACCTGGCACTTTTTCTTTTTTTTTTTTTTTGAGTTGGAGTCTCACTCTGTCGCCCAGACTGGAGTGCAGTGGCCGCTCCCGGCCAC